AGTGTCCATTTCCATTTCTTTGTCAGATGGAGTTGATGAGATCTCCCCAGCCTTCAGGCCTCTCTACTCCACTGTTTTCTAACTGAGGACAGCAGGAAGGGGGAGGGATTTCCATTACTTCTTCATCTGAAGCTTGTGAGATCTCCCCACTTTCAGGCTCCCTTAATTGTCCCTCCTTCTAACACTGCAGGAAGAACGGAAATATTTCCCTCTCTTCTACTTCTTTCTCAGGAAGTTTCCCCATCCCCAAACTCTGCTACTTATTGTTGGATGTTTTTCATTTGTCATGTAAATGTCCCCTTCAGAGTCAGAAGTGGGGCAAGTGCCAAGGGCCGGTTGCATTGCCAGTTTAGGCTTGTGAAGATATTGTATTGCCATTTAAACTGTCAAAGGAAATGAGGTACATGGATGTCATCTGCCACCTCTTAAGAACAGTCAATGTTCAGGTATCCCTTCCAATAAATCAATATTCCAGATTGCCCTCCTGCACTGTTTAAATTAAGTTCCAACTCAAATTCTTCCTCATTCCTTCCAGGTGAGATGTGGGAGTGATGGGAGCAGAAGTGCACAAAGAGGACCATTTCAGGAGACAATGGTAGAAAATTAGATGTATTTGCAGTGTGGCTAGAAGCTGCAGGTAAAAGGCAACAGGATAATCTATGCAATTACAGGGAAGGTCCAGTGAAGGTGATCTCCAGCTTCTGAGTTTTATGGAGGGATGATTCCTGCTTTTGCTGAGCCTGTATCTGATTAGTTAAGGAAGGACTTCTGGCCCACAGGGTATCACAAGATGGGCCATATGTCAAGGGGAGCAAAGTTTTCTGGATGCAAAATAGAGGTTGGAGGGAGGTGGCAGGGTTTGGGTTATGCGATTAGGATCAACCTGCTTGATCTTGGTCCTAGGAATGCAAGAGATAACAAAAGTTAATATGAGAAAAACTGTTTCCTTTAAGTGGAATTCCAGTGCCAAAAATCCTTTAACTGAAACAGGTATTTACTTCAGCTCCTCCTTTGTCATTTAGATCCTAGTTCCCCGCCTTGTGCTGATTTTAATCTTCTCCAGAGCTTGAGGGCAGCCTCCTCTCCTGCTCTTTCCTTTTCAGGAAGCTGCTTTCAGCTGCAAGGAATTATGATGTTTCTAGCAAAGAGCTCTTGGCCAGCAAGGAAGCTTTTCAGCCTTAGCACCATCTCCTTGAACATGTAGAGTACCCTAAAAAGATATGAATTGGCCATAAAAATTTGGAATACTTACAAATGTCTCACAAGGTCTATGGTCCAGGGTTTAAAATCAGTTTTTTAAAATTCCATCTATCCTAGTTAATGGACACTTGGGATTTCACTTCATGGCCTTGGGTGGCTTAGATATGTTTATATAATGGTCCTCCCTAGCTTGGGAACCCTAGAGTGCCCTCCAGATATTTTTGCCTATAATCCTTAAGGATAAGATTACAACAGATTTGGAATATATCACTCAATTATACCTTCATGCTATAAATGTATAGTTTCTGTAATTTATGCTCCATATTCTATTTATGTCTTTATGCTATTGAAGAATTAATTACATTCATTAGTAAAAGATTATCCAGCTGTTGCTGTGGCACCAATATTTAATATTGACTTAAAAGTAAAAGAGGATACAATTACTTTCTTTGTGCTAAACTTACACATTGACAGGATCACTAAAATGTTCACTAGAGACATTATTTGGCTCCATACTGGGTCTGTGCTGACATAATACACTTACCCATAGTTAACTGAACTGTGGCTCACACAAACCGATTTTCCAGCTTTATATAACACACAGCACTATAAACTAATGGTAGGTTAAACTGTGATTGTTAGGTTAACATTAGGTCCAGAGGTAGAATATGGCTATTGTGTAAGCTCTGCATTATGAACTATCACTTACCTTCTACACCAAAAAGTAAAATTTATTCAGTATAAGAATTCAGCTATATCAGATTCCTCCCACCTGCCTTATCTTGGTGTTATAGTATGCTCAGTTTGAATAATTCCTTTTTCATAGAGTGGCTTTCTTAATCTGACATTGTCAATATGTGTTGGGACAACAGGTGGAGGCATAGATTAGGAAAGTCTGCTAATGTATTGACTGCATTTTGTAAAGAAAACCTGCTGCAATTTCTTTTCCTGGCTTACTCAGTTATCCTCATGTGGTTCACCAAGTTAGCAAAACATTTCTAACCAAAAGGAAAGTTTAAAAAGAATATTACCACTACATAAATTTGTTGCACACACCCATTCCATAAATGCCCACTGCTCTCCTATCTACTGTATATCTTGGTGACATAAAAATAAGCTTCCTGGTTGAAAGTCCAATGATGACAGGAATTGCTTTGATAAAATAAGCAAAAATATTGCAAACAGTGTTTTGGCTCCAGTCCACAAACTGTTTTTTTTCCAAAGTTGTCTCATCAAAATAAGTGGTTCTGCTTCAAAGAAGGAATGTTATTGATCAAAGCTCCAGTTTTACAGGCTGCACTTTCAAATGCCCTTCATAATCAACTGAACTAAAAGAAAATGTTGGAAAGATGCAGGGCAATTGTCTCAATCCTTTAAAAAAGGCTGTTGTCTTCCTAACAACTACTGTAACAAATGGCTATCAATGAAAGTGTACAGAACTGTGTCAAAAGGAGGGATTATCTTCTCCAATGATATGTTTTGTCTGCAAAACTGTGCATTTATTTCTAAAAATGCATATACATAAGGGAAGGAACCTCTTGGGGTCAAAGAAATGAAACTAAAAAGAACAATTTCTATTCTATCTAGAACTTCCCCTTGCACTTATCTTTAATTGCTTTGCCTCAGCTCTATGACAGCAAGAACAAAGTCCAGTTATGATAAGAAGCACAAACCTACTGGGTAAAGCTTATTAGAATTACTAGAGTCTGATCACTAGAAATAATTACTAAACAACAAATATCCTTGTGGAAGCAGTTTAATGCAAGCTTCAAGAGGAACCTCAAGGAGCAGACATGACATTTAAATCCAAACATGCATACTTATTTAGTACAAATCCACTACTGTACTTCATAGCTCTCAGGTTCTATTATTCTGGTGCAGTAGAATCTGCAAATGCTGCATAAAATTACTGTAGTTGTATTTTGTGCTAAAACCATGGTTCATAATATTTTACGCTAAAGCAAGATCAGTAGGAGGACTGTCTACATGTTTAGGGAGGTCCCTTTGCCAATATTCCCTAAAAGGCCTCTCTTCTACTTTCTTGGGGCTATCTTATATATATGGGTCTAGTGGGACCAAGAAGAAGGGCCTTCTCTGTGGTGGCTCCCTGCCTGTGGAACATCATCCCCACAGAAATAAGACTGGCCCCCACCTTGATGCTCTTCTGCAAGGCCCTGAAGACACGGTTATGCCAGCAGGTCTGGGGATCCCAGATTGACCCAGAGCCCATCACATGGCTAATGTAAATGTGCTGTTGTTACCAGGGGGTGGGGGGT